CTCTAAAGCAAAAAACAACGAAAAAACCCTCTTTTTTCTCCTCTTCCTCCTACTCTTTGGAGTCTTCAGACCTTACTTCACTTTCTGTCACCATTGATGCAAGATTCTAATAAACACCAAGCATGTATTGATATCCTTGATCCCTTTTGCTTCTTGTTTCGGGGAATTAATTCGTACTTTGAGTGGAGAAGAAGTTTTTTTTTGTTTTGACATTTAAAACTGTAAGGATGGGTATGGGAGGAGTACTTTAAATCTTCCCCTTTTCATTTATTTTGATTTCCTTTCTTGTTTATCTTATTCAAGGGGACTCCTGTTGTGGGTTTTGCCAGTTACGTGGTTTAATTTATCAAGAAAGAAAATCTATTATATGTTTTTATTTATTTTCTTTGGGAGATGGGAATATGGCTCATGTCTGTTTATTTAATTCAGAAAAAATATCACAGGGAGTAGGTGAGGAGGCCTATAAGAAGAGATGTTAAATACGTTGCCCTAGTGCAAAGCAGTTCCAAAAACTAGAACAAAAAAAGGGAAATTGTGTTGTTTTTCTTTTTTTCTCTTTTGGGATACTTTGGATTAGATATCTTACTTAGATTTTGTCCATTATCACCAGCATCGATCATCATGTCTTCATCAAACAGACACTGGCCTAGCATGTTCAAATCCAAGCCCTGCGATACTCACCACCAATGGCAGCATGACATCAACTCGTCTCTCATGTCAACTGGTTGCCAAAATGCCCCTTACACCTCTGGTAAGTGAGAAGCTTAATCTGTGTCTTCCCATTCTTGAACAATTCTACGTAAGTCATCATGGATTTGTCTTTACCTACATAAATAAATCGTCGGTTATTTCATTAATTTGCTTCTTTAAAACTGATGTTCATAATTTTATGTTGACGTGACCCTAGTTAGGGAAAATATGTTGTTTGAATTTGACAAGATGCTAATGTGGTCTGCAATAGTTGCAGGGTGTGAAGAGCGTAGTCCGGAGCCTAAACCGAGATGGAACCCGAAGCCTGAACAAATTCGCATACTGGAAGCCATATTCAACTCCGGGATGGTTAACCCACCTAGGGATGAGATAAGGAAAATCAGAGCTCAACTGCAAGAGTTCGGCCAAGTAGGGGATGCCAATGTCTTTTACTGGTTCCAGAACAGAAAATCAAGAAGCAAACACAAGATGCGCAATCTCCAAAACTCTAAACAGCAGTCCCAACAAAACCAACAAACCCCTTCCATCACAGCACCGTCGTCTTCATCTTCCTCATCCGAGAAATCTTCACCCAAAGGAGCTAACTGCAGTACTCTCTCTTTGAGTTCTACAAATGTCATCGATATTTCCAACTCTCCAACTGCTTCTGTGAACCAGTCCTACTTTCATCAGCCTCAGAACGACTTCTTCAACGAACCTTTCTTCTTTCCAATGCAACATGCTACTGCCGGAGCCGGGTTTACACAAGCGTTTGGCTTCTCAGAGGTAACCAGTGTGATTCAGGTCCCTGATCAGCCAGTTGGACCCTGTACAAGTCTGTTGTTGAGTGAGATATTAAGCCATGGGGATTCAAGGAAAGAACAAGAGGAAAGAATGAATATGCAGCTCCAGCTTAGTTACAGTGCTGTGACAACTGCTCCTAGTACTCACTCTATTTCTCCTCACACTGCTTCCTCCAGTGCTACAATTACTGTTCCATCTAATATTCAACACATTCATGGTAATTTATTTTTCCTTCTTTCACAGTTGAGGATATTAATATAAGGGTGTATCTTTGTTAGTAGAAAAGGGAAGAGGATAAAGATGTTGTTTAGGACCGGGATTTGGCATAATTTGTCTACGGACGAACGTATGCATGGCTTGTTTCTCTGTGGAAATTGACTAGTGGTTTGGTGTTATATGTTGAGTTATTGGCAGGTGTTGGGGAATCGGCCGCAGTGGAGCCTGGCAATCTGGGTAGATCGACGGTGTTTATCAATGATGTTGCGTTTGAGGTAACAGTGGGTCCCTTCAACGTGAGGGAGGCTTTTGGTGATGATGCAATCTTGATCAACTCCTCTGGTCAACCTGTTCTCACCAACGAGTGGGGCTTAACCCTTCAGTCCCTTCAAAATGGTGGATTTTACTATCTGGTTCGCTCATTAACCCCCTTCTCCATCTAAGGAAGGTGACCGTCAAAACCCTTAAGCAGTTAAGTTTTGTTGTACTGCATATGGGTAGAAAATTTATAATCATCTTCTGCAATGGGGTGTAAGTAACGTATAATATATATGTATATATTCACTTTTTTTATGTTGGATAATGTGCATGAAAGCTCGTTTCTTCATATAAGAGATCAGATTCACTAGGGATTTTTTTCTCGTGTAAAAGCTGGAAGCATTTGCTTACCAACTGAGCTCGTTGATTAGTGTGTTGTTTTCTTGAATTGCAGGTTTAGAGATGGGGAAATGGAAGCTTTGGTCTTGCTCTGATCCCACCATCATTTCTCTCTCAAGTCTAATCTCAAGGTTGAATTTAGGTTTAGCTAGTTCTTGGGGCTCTCTCTCTTTATATGTAATATGAAAACTTTCTGGGCCGATGTATTATCTATTATCTTGTTAAGCAATGTGCATGAATTATATGCTATTTTACTTTTTACGTTCACGAAATAAGCATATAAGTTGCAAATTAGACCTACTTTTAACTTATTTTACGTTTTACTTTGCATATCTTCTTCCGGAAGTAGAGTTAAACATAAAACTCATTTTTTTCATATATATATATATATATATATATATATATATATACTTTACACTCGGAAATACCCACCCCTTTTAAAGGCTGATAACTGCTCCTGTATTTAGGGTTTAGAGAATCATTTTAACTAAAATGAGAGGATTTATTTTGTTTAATTGTCTAAAACACCCTTTTCCAAAATTCCATTAAATCCCGTATGAAATTAATTATTTTTATTTTAAATTTTTAAATTAAAAATGAGTTTATAATATTATTTATGTTATAATTGACATTATATATCAAAATATTCTTTCTTTTTTGATTAAAGAGTACGACTATATATATCCGAAATCTAATATAATTGTACAACGTGGGGATATGAAACTATTGATATGAAGCTCATAATTGTTTTTCTTGGAATTATGTATCTCATCTCTATGCAATTAAATTTGGTACCTACCAAATCAAGAATACACAGGGTGAATAATTATCTTCTCGATGGCCATGAACAAATTTGAAAGCCGCTTTAATTTCCTTAATTGCTACACCATTCAGCAAGCCAGAAAACTATTGAGATTTGAGACCCTAAAATACATGAGGCACAACCTTTGTCAATGGCGGGCAGCTGTACTTCATGCATGCAAGACTCGGTTCAAAAACCTTAAATGTTTAATATTATTTAGATTTTTTATGTAAATGTTGTTGAGAGTTTAAATGATTAATTACTGACCAGGGTTTCAAAAAATGATCCGCGACCGCGATTTCGTCCGCGATATAGCGGCGCCGTTGTTCGAGTTACCCGCGACAGCCGCAATAGCTCCCGCGACGGGCTCTATCACGATAAATTCGAAATAACCGAAAACGCGACCGCGATTTGAAACCCTGTTACTACCAACCAGGGCAGGGGCCATGGAGTTTTAATTGATGAGGGTAGTTTACACATTATACGATATGGTTATTGTGAGCCCTCCTTTGAGTCTTTGAAAAGAGATGTTGTAAAGAGACAAATGAAATAACTGAGAGACAGGATCATGATAAATAATGAACATCTGCGTGTGTCTTGTAGGCTTCTAAATTTGTCTGTATACCAAAATTTTTGGATTCAGAAATAGGGTTTTACTTGGGATTCATCCAAATACCAAACAACCTATTCAAAGCCCATCTGTTATGTAAGCGTCGAACAAGGTGGTGTTTGTTTCAACTTTTAAAACTCATTGCATCACGGGAATCTTTAAGACTGAAATGAAAACCCTCACTGAAACCCCCAAAAAAAAAAGTGTCTGGTCTAAACATTTCGATGTTGTGTTTTCGTGCTGCAACAAATGAGCTAAGGCTATGAACCTGGCGAGTGAGGGTTAGGAGGAGGAGAGAGTGAGTTTTGGTGTTGAGTGGTGCAGAACAGATATTTGACGTGCACTTTGGTGAGAACAGTTTTAGCCCCAAGCACCTTGGATTTGACAAAGCAAGTGTTGGGATGTTTCAGAAAAAAGAAAAAGAATCATTTCGCTAGCTATTTATAGTTCCCACTTGCGTCACAATTTGCATGAACCATCAGCGATGGTAATCATGACCGAGAGTGTGATGACAACTCCTTCAAACCCCCAAAATTCAAACTTGGAATAATTTCCGAAGTAGATGGAGAAAGAAGCAATGGCGGTTGCAAGGTCAAACACTTGTGTGTTTAGCTCGGAGGAAAAAAAGTTCATAACAGGACACGTGGCCTAACAAGAGTGATGGGATTAATCAATACTTGGGGATTGGTGGATCAAACAGTAGGTTTGATTGGATGGTTGTGGTGTTGTACTGCAAAGTGCAAACAAAACATAGATTGGTAGGCTGCTGCAAAGCTAGAAAGGTAGGCTCTCACAATCTGCCATGAAAAGAACGTATATGTGACAACATGCATATATTTCTGCTTCCACCACAAGACAAAGATTACATTTGCATTTTTCTTCAAAAGATTTTGGTTAACTGTGATTTAAAGGCGGTTGTACATTGTTTCATTGACCAAAAATGCGTTGATCAATAATTCAATATTTCAAGTTGCATCGAAAAGAAAGAACAAAATAATACATCTTAATAGCTCGACAGCATGACTTGTCAAAGTGTACTTACGATGAGGTATTATCTAGTTTTAAGATGATAACGTACAATGATGAAAGCTTTTGTATTTGATGTCCATTATAAATCCTACTCGCTCGAGCTGCATAACTATGAACAATAAATCGTCGATGAATCTCTCTATTTTTGTATTTCACCCCACCACAAGAAATCAGTCTAAAATCCAGTATGAGGAAGCTAAATCCAAAATCATTTACTAGTTCTGCAAGCATTGACCAAGCTATAATGACTCGAGAATTGTACACCATTCATATATACTCAACTACAGATTGAGATTATCTTTCATGAGCAGATTAAAGACTTAACATTCAAGTGTTGGAACCCTAGAAATATAATTCGCTTAAAGGTTTTCACATGGTCTGAAGAAAAACAGCCATTTCTCTTGCTTCTCACCATCTTCCAGAAGTTAGATCGAGGCATCAACCTCTAAACTACAAACACTTCAGTAAGTAAAATAACTGTACAAATTTATGGCCACCAAAAATATGAGCTAGAGCTGGTTTTCTGGTAATTTATAGCCACCACTCTGGCTGTGTTAAAATATAACAAAACTAGATGAATGGGTGTAGCTATTGCAGCCTTTACCCCTTTTCTTCGACTATGTTAGATAATAACCACTTAAATCGTCAACAAGATAGTCATACTCCAATCCATACCCGTAATCAAACTTCTCGCCTGTTGGTGCCACCACATTTTGAGTAGAATAAGGATTTCCGACACTAACCTTTGCACTAATTTTAGCCCTTCCTTTGACAAAGCGTTTGTTATCAGTTGGGAACTCTGCAGTGAGCCTTCCCATCTGCTTCTGCAGATCAGCAACAGTATCATTTGCTGATTTCCCTTTTGCATTTTTCTTACCCTCAACAAGCTTCAATTCCAACCTATACAAGGCACAAGCATCACACTTGTTGATTTCATATTCGTAAAGGTGCCACTCAAAATGTTTTAGTGGCTGTGGATCCATGTAGTATGATCTCTTCAGTCCTCCAAATTCATTCATAACTTGCTTCCTTGACTCATGCCAGCCACGCCCACTGTAATCCGGCAAAGACCTCTGCTTTCTGTTCCCGCTTTCAAATGCTCTTTGAGGCTTATCAAAAAAGAGCCACTCCCTAATTGATTCACCCTCGAGAACTGAAAGATCAAAGAGCTCTGTAATCACAGGAGAAAAATAGTTAATGTCAAAAACAAAAAAGGATATCATATCTGATTAGAGAATATAGTCTGCTACAACTCATAAAAGTTGCCACCAGAAACAAGTAAAGCAATATTGATAAGCCATACCAGGAGCACTCCATGGAGACTTTGCAGTTGCAGCTCCTTCACATTCCGGTATACCCACATCTTTTCCTTGAACCTTGGCACTGAGAGCAGCAAAGAGCAGTCCATCCTTGAGGCCTATGCCGCCGGGTCGCAGAACCGGTCCCATTCCAGTTGGTCCTTCATTCATTGCTAAGCTAGCATGAAAGCTACTACAGTAGTCTTGACACCAATACAACCCTTGAGCAGGCCTTGGACAATCCCAAAGTGCACACTTTGGACCTAAGAATGCAGATGGTGGCAGGCATATACTTGGCAGATAGCCAGAAGTATGTAGCATGGCATCCTCCCCAGTGAAACCCGTAGCGTTGTAACCTGTGTAGAAGTGTTCAAAATCCTGATGCAAATCAAACTGAGGGTATTCCAATTGAGTAGCCTCTTTCAAGTTGTTAATTAGAATGGCACGGACTCCTGAAGGTGAATATTTGCAATGATCAACTAAATGATTCACTCCATAACCCTGTAAGAACATGTCAATTACAAAACTTGCCAGTGAATGCGTTTTCAACTTTAATGGAAGCTGTTAATCACAAAACATTCATGAAGTATAGTCGGAGAAGAACCAAAGTATGCTCTACAGAAATATAACTTTGATGCAAAAGTGCGAACAAAATATGGTATATTAAGCTCTAGTAAGCTCAAATAAAGATCCAGGTACAAAAGCATGCATGATGATGAAGACGAGGGAGGTTAGCAATTATTGGTGCTGAGAAGGGATATCTTAGAATGAAGTTCACTAGCTGTGCCAGTCCTACTCATTAAGTGTGCAACAAATGGAAAATATTTGATGCCCTGGCCGGTTCCAAAAATATCATATATTCTCCCATATTTATCACAGAAACACCCAGTTAGTTACTAGAGAAACCAATAACATTATATCCTGGTCTAAGGCAACCAAATCCTGTTTACCAACCTAGAAGAGAATTGCAAGCATATTGTGGTAGCCTTCTACTCTATAACACCAGGAAAGAAACAAATTAAAAAGTCATCAAGAAACATGATTTTTCTTCATTTCACTACTTCAAAACATTCTAGAAACTGAAAAAAATCATGACCATACTATATAAACATGTACAGCTCCCAGTCCCGTATTTAAATAATAATGAAACCAAATGCTTCAAACAAAAAAGAAATCACATCGCTTAAGATGGACAACTTAACTTGATGCTCATGTTGACCCAAGCTTATTGAATAAACATGTTATCCCTCCAACAATCATGCAAATTCCAAACAAAAAAGCCCAAGGATAAAGCGAAACTACCTCTTGAAAAGCAGCAGTTTCTCCTACTTGCAGGTTTTTATCATTAGGCTCAGGCTTTGGAACAGCTAGTACACTAGTTGCATCGTCTTCCTCCTCACAAAGCTGCAGCAGCCGACAAATGTCTGATGAAAATGAACCAAGACTACCTCCCTGTAATTCACATGAAGATTGCAATTCTCATCACAACACCTTAGATAGTATTTTCCACCTCTTAAGATCAAAACTCATAAGCATTTATCTTGCACACAATCTGTTACTGCCAGATCACTTCAAACAACATACAACCTACTGAAATGCACTGCACAAATTCACAAGGATTTTTAAAATATACATGAGATTCAAATGAAAATTAGATGTGCAGTGCTAACTTGTTGCAATGAAGATGCAGAAGAAGGTTCGTTGAGCTCAGCTTTCCATTCGTGGAGCATCTGATGGACTTGCTCCTCAAGGACAGCAACATCGATGCTGCGGCTCTCCTTCCTGGCAAACCGCAGATCCAAGAAAATTGCCTGCAGGTCATCCACCCGGTGTTTTGCTCTGTCCTTGAAGAGTTTGTGAGATGCAGACTTGCAGTTGATTTTTGAACCTTTCCCCATTAAAATAAAGAGCCCTCAACAACTCACACCAAGACTCTACAATCCAATTGTCACTATTCTTGTTCCTGAAATTTATATTTAAATTTTGGTTTACAACTAACAATAGTGGGAAAAAGAAAATCCCCATTTGCAATCAAAGCAACTGATATTCTAATGGTTGTATAACTTTATAAAAAAATGAAATCAAGCTAGAAAAAGATTACAAAAACAATGATAAATAAATTTACATCATATCCAGATAAATTGAAGTCGTATAAACACATAAAGATTAGAATTTTTCTTTATATATATAAAAACTGAATTATATCTAAAAAGAAAGGCAACCCAGTTTTCCAAATACCATAAAACTGAGATTAAACGAAGACAGCATCAGGTCAAAGGCAAATTATAGAATCAAATGAGATGTAAATAGTTATATTAGAAAGCTAACCAGAGAGAGAGTGATCAAAGACACAGAAGTTCCTTACTTTCTATGGAGCAGGCGCTGAGACAAATAAGTGGGGGCCGGGAAATGGCAAAAAAAAACTAGAAAAGTATTTCATTCGATGAAAATAAAAAAAAAAAACTAAAAGAACATATGCTCCACTCCTTAATCACAAGGAGAAAAATAAAGATTTAATTATTTGATAATAAATTTTTAAATATTCTATTATCATTAATATTTAAATTTAAATTTTTAAAATATAATAATTATTCTTTTAATCATAAAACATCCATTCATTTATGATAACACGTATGAGTACAGATTGGATTGAGTCAAATTAAAAATTTTCAAATTAGTTTTATGTTATATTCAAACTTTATTTCATTTTTAATTAAATTTAGAAAATTTCTTTATAATTATCTATAATATTATGGTACAAAATAGTCTGATTCAAACGATTTTCTTTAATCATATAAATTTTACATATATGTTTTTTAATTTTATTTACGTATAAATAAAATTTATAATATTATTTAATAAATTAAATAACATATAAATTATAAAATATGCTTTTAAATTTATGCATCAAATTACGATTTAGATCTAAATTTATGATAATTATCCCTTTAGGGGAAAACCCTAAACTTTGTGGTTAAATACATTTATCAGAATTAATTTAAATAATTTTGAATTTAGATTTAATTTTAAAAAAAAACCTTTGGTATAGATTCTCATCGTTAAAAAATAGTATTTATTTTCTGACCTGAAGAAATAAAAAAGGGTGATCCCTTTTGTAAGAAAGGCATAAAGAGAAGTCCTCACCACCACCAGATTCCTTTTATCTTAGCTGCTAAGATGAAAGATGTCCCCTCTCCTCTCTCACATTTATTGGATCCTTTAAACATAGCAGTGTTCAAGAAGAGACGACTCGCCCTTGAAGATAAGCACGAAACTAAGTTAAAGTTGTAGCATAATAACCCATCCAACTTCAATCACTCATCTAAACGCTTCCTAATACACCATGAAATTCTCCATTTTACTCGAGACAAAGACTGGCTTCTTTTCCACCCAAAGAAGTGGGTCTACAAATTTTCCACCTCACAAGGTTCAGTACAAAAGAACGCCACAACCACCAATAAAGCTTCAAACTTCAAAGGATAGGCCTCCTCAAAATTCCAATGCCTGAAGTACCCAATGCTCGTCAGCCAAGTTCTAAGGCACAAATGTATGCATGTGCTCGTTGTGTGGGTGCCAAAGAGTTCTAGAAAGGGCAAATTTGTTCTGATGATAAGTTCACACTGCTGGCAGAGCAGTTTTTCAGTACAATGGTAGCAAAGCTGATAAACATTTATGTTCATAAAGGTATATTAGAATGATGCAACTCTTAAAAACTAGCAGCCCAAGCCATGCCATACCACCAGACATCCTTGAATAAACTCATAAAAGCATTATTGACACACACTCTATATTTATACTTGTTATTGTCAGTAATGTTTAAAACAATGATTTTAGTTGTATAATCCTTTCAATGAACAATTGAAACCGAATACAGTCCAAAAAGATGGCTCAATGTTCAAAAGAATGATTCCTTTATTGAGGGGTTGATCAGAAACCTGTATAATAGATGAGAATGGAATCAAAAAAAATAATACTCAACTTATTTCCCAAGCCCGTTTACATCAAGATGGTTTTGCCAAGTTTTCCCCCTCCATATTAGCATGTTTCAATTTGAAAATACCAGCGAGTCCCTGTCGCTTAGCAAGCTGCTCCACTTCTTCAAGTTTATGTCTAAGAAGTTCCACTTGTGTAGCTAAGTCCTCGTTTCTTTTCTTCATTGCCTGAAAAAAGAATGAACAGGGCTTGTGCATTAGAGGAAATAGAACAGGAGTAGGAATTGCAAAATATTCAATCACCGTGCTTCTTTCAAGCATAAAGAAACCTTTCAATATCTCCATGCAAAAACAAGTCAGATTAAACCTGTGTTGTTCGGACTCGGGTGAGAGTGTCGGATGTAGGTACATATATAACACAGGTATGTTCAAGTTCTTTTAGAACCTTTTCTGTGAATTTGTAGGATAATTTTCTGAGAGTGCGTTAGACAAGGGACATGGATGTCAGACACAGGTATTGCAAGAAAAATGAAGAGTTAAAGTAACAGAGGATTAAACACCGTCTTGGTTAGCATCATGTTAAAATCACCTAGAGAAATAAGCTACAACAAACAAAGGAGATTGTTCAATGAATACCTCCAACTCTTCTCGGCGTGCTTCCTCCTTTTTGGCTTCCGATCTAGAACTTCTTTGAACCTCAAAGATCAAGATAGCTCCTGCAAACCTATATACAAACTCCAGCATGTACAAAATCATAAACCTTCACGAGAAGTATATGTTCAACAAAGAGCAAGTACATAAAGAGCAAGTATGGTAAGTTTTGGGATTTCATGCAAATACCAGCACTTCATAACCACATTAAGTGCACGAGTAAATCATGTATGAAGAAGCAAAAATACCAGCTAAATGGGCAAAAATCTTTCACGATTACCAAGATCCGCTACTTGCTAAACCTCATACAATCATACAATCATACATATTCTACTCGAATAGAACCAGTGATATATCTAGAATCTAGTTAGATTGTAGTTCACTAGCGATGCTAAATATTTAAATGCGATGTAACTCGTGTGATTGATTATTGCGTTCAAAAGACTATTCTGACAAAGAAGTAAGATCTCTACACCCGGTGCAGAGCAAAAGAAAAAGCAATCTACCAGGTGGGCATATGTCTAATACAAGGTATTGGCAGGTAGTACTATATGATACAAAGAAATAGCAACATACGTGCCAACATATATAACTATAAACACAGACGCGTGTGTGTGTGATTTTAGCATGTTTGCAGCTTGATTCATTTTCTTTATTTGGAAGGAGATGACAAAAAGCTTTCGGTGACAACATCGTCCAATTACTAATCTACATTCAGCAACAAAAATGAGAGTAATTTTGAATACTTCTAGAAACATTAATAAGAAGAACAGCTGGGGAACGACTAATACCGTGAAGACAAAAAGTTCCCCAATAAGATCTACAGCAGCCTGAACAGCTTTCTCCTCATCCAAGGGGCGTATCTCAACATCCGTTGCATGACTGTAAATGCGTCTTTGCATTCTAGTTGTGATTCTATGGTTTGCCTGTTTCCATACATTGGCACTGGGATTAAAGATTAAACTTATAGAAATCAATAAATTTACAACAGAAACGTACCATAATTGTACTATACTGCAATCTAGATAAACAAGTTGTGAGAAGTTAGCCCATATAAGAAATATAACCTCATAGCTTAGTTTAAATACAAGTGTCCAACAATAAAGGGAGAAGAAATTATAAAAAGTATGGGGATAAAATAAATGAAAGGAACAAGAGACAGATAACATCATTTGAATCAAATGTATCAACGTTATGGAAACGCATATTTGAACTTTGGCAGTAAGAATTTAGAAATACAGCAATACAGATTGCTAGTGATTCAATTTGCTAAAAGGGGTTAACAATCTAATGGCAATAAATAATTGATTCCATCCTTAAACCTAATGGATCAAGTTAGATAACAGTTCTGGCTAAATATCGTAAATCAAGTTCTTAATGGAACACGGAAGAAATATTAAGACCAAGAATGTGTAGATTATTTTGCAGAATCAGATTTTACAGAAATGTAATGCTAGTACTAATAAGCTCGATGTATTATAACATTTCACAGCCAAATCCCACGCTCACAGGAATCTATCTCGAGAGCAAACAAGAAAGAGAAATGCTTTGGAAAAGCAAGCCTTTCCTATCTTTAGCCTCCCAAATCAAACTGAAAAGAATAACGACATGCTAGTAATTTTTGTACCTGAGCAATGCTAACGATGAACTGGCGGAACTTGGGGGCATACGCAGCCTGTCGCTTGAGCCGAGAAGCCACCGATTTACTCAGTGTTTTTAAGGCCAAAGTTCCTAGCTTTAACAGTTGGAGTGACATCGATTATGATATGGTTTTCTTTTTCTTTTCGATCAACAATCAGATAAAAGGGACGGCAAAAAAACTTTAGCGAGAACGAAATGAGAAAACGGGGGATAGCTGCAGGGTTTGACTTTGTCATGGTCAAACTTTCTTTATAAATGAAGAAAATTTGACTTCCTTAAAAAAAATGACTCCCACTTAACTGGAATGCGGAGCATACATTTGCAGATGCTTAGGGCAACATGATTTGTTGGGTATTGGAATTTGGAACTCAAAGCCATTTTCTGGGTATTATATATCCTCTTTATCCAATACATTCCACTCTCTTCACCTCGTATGTCCGTACAAGTGATTCTTTAACAACCCCTCAACGTGAAAAGCTTTGGTCAATTTCACTCCTCAACGTTTTTATTTAATTAAAAAATTAAGACCTAACTTGTTCATAAATCAATTTAACCAAACATATTAAGTCTAAGCATCATTTTGTGTTTTAAGACACAACAATGTCTCGAAAGTTCAACCATCACATTAAACCTCAAAATTTATAAAAACCTACCATGATCTGTAAAAACCAACCACGATCTGTAAGACAATACAAATTGATACACACACACACACATGTTGTCATACACAGATTTTTAAATCTATAGAGATAAAGATGACAATGGATTGGATATTTGTATTTCTTGAATAATCTAAAACAGCAGCCCAGGTGGTAGTGACACCACTCAACAAGCAACCATTCCGTGACACCACTGCCCATCCCAATGCATGAAACATCCACGAAAACACCACATGACGCCAAAACCCTGCTTCAGGAGAGAAGTAGGATTCATCAAACAGCTTTGGGACATCCATCCTTTCTCCCGACAATCATGCAAAAAGGCATCATCAATAACTGAACAAGTAAAAGTTCTCAGACATTGCAAAACATTACTAACAGATGATGGTAATAGGTCTCAACGCATGTCCTATATTGCAAATTGGAAACCATTTCAACACTTCATACCACACCAACGGATTCCTCTATCTTCAGCAACTCCTGTGGTTATATCCAGACATCATATCGCCATCTCATGTATAAAAATCAGAAGTAGAAAAGAGAATGAAACATGAAGAATTTAAGTTGATATAGTGAATTTTCGTGCATGAACAGTGATTTTCTGGGCTTGAACGAAAATTCCAGATTACGCAGGGGGTACATATTCCCCCTAATGGAAAAATGGAATTTTGGTTCATTAAACAGGCTTATGTTATTAACATCATGTTTAAGGTTTAGGCTTCTGATAATTGTTTTGAAATGTTATATTTATGTAGATATTGAGCCTAAACAAGTTCCGGAATAATCAAAGGATTAGGATCAAATCAAAGCGAGGCTAAGGTGAGTGCAATTTAATTGTACTTATGTTATTGAATAAATATTGGCTTGCGATGAGCCAGTGGCAGAGTTATTGTGGTAAGAAATAATTCCTCCAATGTTATGGTATGTGATATATATATATATATATATATATATATATATATATATATATATATATGTGTGTGTGTGTGTGTGTGTGTGTGTGTGCTTACATAGGAACATGAGAAATAAAATAAGTTATGTGATAAGGATATAGAGAATGAAATGAATGACATGAAATGTGTGTATGCTTGATTATATTAGTGGATATGTTCTTGTAAGTGCTAAGTGGCTTATGTAAATAAATGAAAAGATGAGATAAAATAAGTAGTATTTACTGATAAGGTAAAAGGAGATTATATGAATAGATACTATTGATAGGGCACATAAAACTATATGTTTATCCTTTAATGTAATAAAGTGAAATAAGTCAAATGATATTGAAGTATGTAAATATAGTATATGTGATAAGTGATGTATGTAAATCATATGATAACAAGAGATGACAATGATTTACATGTCATATGAACACAAGAGAAGTGCTATAAGCTAAATGACATATGATTATGAAATCATATGAAAAGTGAAACGTGCATGTGAATATGTGAAATGATATAAATGATATTGCACATGTTATGTGATATGAGAGCTAAGTGAAAAAAACTGGAATAAATAGAATAATGAACAAAACTAGCATAAAAGCATAAACATTTGGTTTTCAGACTGCGGATAGGATCCTATTATATGCTACAATACCACATTAAGGAGAACAGCCTAAATAAAATCCAGTCGGTTTGTTGTGCTGCCTGTTTCAGTATCCAATTCATCTATTATTTTATCCTGAAACACCAAAGTATTAGAATATGAAATAGTGTATATATATCCTACACTGATATTGAACAGAACATATTAAATTAGTTACAGTTCCTTCATGAATAAGAATAAAAGAAAACAATCAGATAAACCAATGAGACTACAGCAGTAGACAGTCTCACTTGTACCAGAAGTTCCTCATGTATTGTAAGCTCAATATCTCCTACTCTCTCAACACTAGTGCTAATCTCATCCAACTCCCCATCTTTCTGCCTACAAGCATCAATTCATAAAACAATCAAAACTAGCAAAATTAGACAACAAAACATGATGGAAAAAAATGCAGGGAAGAGAAACTGGATGTCAAGATAACTCTATTTTATAAGCATCTGTCTATCTGATTCTGATTTGATAAAGTCATCGTTGTCTTCTGCAATATGCTGGTTGGACTGACCTGGTTCATGGGAACTTGGGAATTTCATTAATTCCCGGCACATCAAACTTGCTGTACTACCATTCTCTTTTCAAGCGACTACAGACTTCTTACATTTCCTACCTGATCTAACAAAGTAATCCTTAAAAGGGATCCATGACTTCAAGATTAAGAAGACAATGCCTCATTGTTTATAATAACAAGACAATGCCTGCAATACCCCAACCAGCAAATGAACATTACTGAACAAATCTCCAGATGATACCTGAGCACGGCAGTGGTGATGCATCTCCTCCAGTTTTCAAGTTCTCTATCATCGATGCCATACCAAGATTCAAGAAGGGTCTCTAGCTGCCACACTTATGGTTTTGTCCAATTCATCCACCTTTCTGTATGGTTTTGTCCAATTCATTCTCCTTTCTGTCAAGAAAAAGGTACATTTACATGCAGTTGCAAGTTGGATTAAATTGTTCAATTGACCCAACAAAGATAAAAGTAAAACCCATCAATCATCAGAACATTGGTTTTTCCTATCTCAAGGATCCGGTTCAATTAAGGAGGAAAGCTTAATTCCGATACCTGTCACTCCATGTTCTCACATTAACAAGTATATCTCTTGTGAGATGTACTTGTTCCTTTCCGGCTGATGAAAACTTGATTGCAACTTATCAATCTAAACCAACAAAAAGAAAACGTCAAAAACGTCATCTAATTGAAAATCCCAAAAAGCTTATTACTTTTCCTTTAACACAGTTAAAAAACACAGACCCAACTTACGGAATCTTGAGCCTCTTCTTTAACGATATAAAACGGATCTTGAGCTTTAGACATCTTGAAAGTAGTGGAAGTAATTATATCATGCAAACATGCAAAAAATCATTCTTTAGCAACAATGCAGGTTTAAGAGAACAAAAAAGAACAATAGCCTAAGATTTTTTTCATGGTTTCTTACCTCTGCCACCAATCTGAGGAAAGCCCAGTAGGGAAGGTCAGTTTTTTCCCCCCGACAGTTTTGAAGGATAACAACTACGAGGGAATAAAGGATTTAAGGGAGAACAAATAACCTACATGTCTTTTTTACGGGCTGATCGGTTTGACAAATGGAGGACCCCTTATCCAACCATTCACTATCGGGCCTAGCATTAAATGGTTAACTCGGCCTACATCCAATGAAATTTAAACTACACGAAATCAAATTAAGAATTAGGTTACACGTCACCAAAATTTTCGAAGGACTGAAACAACTTATCCAAAGCCCAAAGGTATAGGGTTAGTTAATCCGATTATTACTCGATAAATCTATTTAAATTGAATAAATAAAATTAATTTTATTAACAACAATTAAAATAATTAAATTGAATTAATTAAATTATATACTTTTTTTAGAATATGTTGAGAGGCTTTGAAGAAAATGTTGTTCTCTTTAGAATATACGCGCGTGTTATCGGTAAATAAGAAATATTTTAAATGGATATTATCTTATAATAATTATAGACTATTAAAAAATAATTTAATTATTTCACTTATCAGATCTTGGGCTCAGTTAGGCCCATGCTTATATCACCAGCCTCAAATCTGCCAAAACTTCGGATTGATGCTATAAAAATGTATAGCTTCAGAGACAGATGATACAGAGTTTACAGTCATCCCTCCAACGAATATTTATATCCATGGATAAAGTCAAGTCACGTGTGGGTTCTACTACAACGTGAAATTCGCAGACCACTTTGGGATTTATTACTAAAGGCATCTGGACAGACCGTTTTGGGCAAACTTAGTACGGCGTTCCCGGTCGTGTGTGATAACGGACCCTCACAGTCAGCCTGAAACCCACTTCAAATGTGGTTTTAAATATATTATTTTAAAGTGTATTTATATCAAAATTAAATACTATTTAAAATAAAGATAATGATTTCTATGAAAAAATTTATTATTTCAAATGTATTTATATCAAAAGTAGTAAAAATTATTCATTATCTAAGAATTTAAAGATAATAACGTTACCACCATTTTAATAAAAAAATATTATTATTTATAAAAAAAATTATTGTCTAATAATAATTTTTTTCCGAACCAAACATAAGAATATAATTCTAAAAAAATTATTACATATAATAATAATCTTTCCGCGAATCAAATGCCTCCTAAAAGAAAATATAAACCACAAGATAGATCATAAAATGATGATACTGTTGAAGCAGCGACACCTGTAGGGCGATGAAAGAGACAGAGCGTAGTCACAAAAGAACCATAGGGGCGCGTGCGAGGATGATTGACATGACAAAAGTACGATGAAAGGCTGAGACAAACGCAGAGGGAAAGGGAGCAGCAGCGACCCGCGTAAAAGTCGAGGGCTCTCTACTGCACAGAAAAAGAAAAAAGGACCAACTTTAGTCGTTTGGTCCCCTCCTTCCACTTCTGCTTATGAATCCTCTTTTCCTTCCTCTGCTTCAACACACTATCTCCATTTTCACGCGCCTCCCCCATCGACTTTGATTCCCCCTCGCAACTCCAAAACATAATTGTAGCACTTTGCCGTAATTTCAATATCACACACTTTCATTTGTATTCCTCCTTTAATCTGCTTTCTAATATTATTTAAAATAAATAAATGAAAAACTGATTTTAAAATATATATTTATAAAACACATTTTATAGTGGTGATGAATTATAAAATTTTAAAATGGAGTTTAGAAATTGTAATATTCTTTTGAACAAAATAAAATATAATATATTTTATTTTCTTACCCTTAGTATATTAAACTAAAATAATAGATATATACCTATAAAAATGACAAAAACACTGTTGAACGTAATTATTGTACAACTCCTTACACATATAAAAATGACATAAGCAAAGGTACAAAGATTGAAAAGAAAAAGCTAATGGTAATAGTAGTTTGTCGCAATAAGTTGAAGACAAGTGGTAATGGATTCGTCTAAAAAAAAGGAAAACAATAACGTGAGGGGGAGACTGCAGGGCTGAATCAATTATAACTGTCTTCCACCTTCACCTTCTGTGTTTGTCTTTTTCATGCGATGTGATGTTTATATATGATTTGCGCGAACTGCAAAGAGTTGCGTATGAATTAATCTTGGTAATGATTGTGATTATCACAAAGCAAGTTTTGTCTGTAATGCCATTTGTACGATTACATAATATTAGGATAAAGCACTTGAAAACATGATTTATGACACTTTTCTTTTTCTACTTTCTCGTCTATTATATATTATTACAGTTTCCCCACTATATATATGTGTGTGTAGGTGAAAATATGTAAGTTTATTGATCTTATTCTTAGTAAAAATAAATGCTGTATATTTGTAGGGCCAAGTTACTATTCATTTTTTGTCCGATCTCAACAAAGTGGAAGAACATTGGGTTGGATCGGTCTCAAAGTGAACTAATTGAGCAACTTTATTTTATGAGTATCCTCTTTGTTGTTTCAAATTGCAATTATTAATATTGGGAAAACCGACGGACAAGTGATTATTTCGATTTTCCTATGTCTTAGAATAATGTCCTTCACAAAATTCAGCAGATGCCATAAAAATGAACCAATTGTTATCTTCAAAGACCGGTCAAAAAGGCATCATTGTAACTTACAGGGTTGATTAAGATAAGACTATTTCTGATAACAATAATCATGGTTGGTTAAAATTATGATAACTCAAGCAGATGCAAACGGTGATTTTTTTAATTAATATAAAATAATTACAAGTGATAATATCTGTTTTAAAGATTCTTTTTATTTTTTTGACAAAACTGTTTTAAATATTTTTAATTATTTAATAACGAACATTCAAATAATATGTAGTTGCTACTTGTTAGTGGTTAGATCTAACATCTCTAAGAATGAACGATAATTAAAAATTATGATGTATGGATAAATTAATATTTAATAATTTTTTTAATCCCTCAAAATTTTAAAATCTTCATTTACAGTTAAATAAAAAGAATTATAATATTTTCAAATTGTTCCAATAAAATTTTAAAAATACCCAAGAGTGAATAAAAAGGAAAAAGTTCTTACCTCTGAAACTCCTGCCAATATTCATCGACAAAAGAAAAGTAGATTTGTTTAGAAAACTATGAATACGTTACCTTCTCACTTTAAAAAAAACTTAGACATACAAATACCCGAGTGTCTTTCTAAAAAGAAACCCCAAGAGTGAATGCGTGGGTAAATTTTTGAAAAAGTTTGATAGATTCTTTTAAGAATAAAATTTTCTCCAATAAAAAATAGTGAACAAGAAATGGAAAGAAATAAATATATTTATTATCCTAGCATTATTTTGTTATTTGTTTATTTTGAGAGAAGGATATCGCTTACAACATCAATAACAATCATAAATCGTGAATGACCCGTGTTAAATTTTTTTTATTCTTCTTCCGTTTCCAGGTTTGTCCTGATTAATTTAGATTGACTCATATCGCACATCTGACTTTGGTGATTTTCTGCATACACAAGAACTCGAACTTAAGACATTGCTTAAGTGATATCAAGTTGTTTACTACTTGAACCAACCTATTAATGAATTTATGCTTTAAATATTGGATTCTTATGTAATTCGTATATAATTATAAATAAAAATGAGAAGCTCCCTAGCCTCAAGACACATTAAAATGATGAAAATAACACATAGAATGCCATCGAAATTAGATAGTTTTGCCATTAATGCATCTTTCCCGATGACTACCTAACAGATACATCAAGGGGAAACAATGTCCTACAATTTTGACGAAAATAGCAACGCCTAACCAAGTCCATATTCTATGGTCGCAGGTGCAGCTCAAGGGTATAAATAATGTTTTATGCTTTTCCCAACAGGGTAACTGCCACGCATATCACTCTAAAAATACCCCGGAATATAAATTTAATAAAAAAATTATATAATATATTGATTTATATATATATATATATATATTCAGATAAAAATATAGATGTAAATAAATAGTGCCCTTAATATACTTACCATATAGGCGCCTTGTTTATCAAAAAGCAGTGTGGGATAGCCAGTCTAATAATGAGACAATCTTAGTGCGGTTGGTGGGACTGGCGCAAAAAAGATTAAAGTGAGGCGAAAGGGTAGTATCTAAAATTGTATGTTTTCCCCTACACTCGTGTATCGCGCGTTAATGCGCCTTCAATTTATTTATATTGACTTTCATGTAAATATAGTAATGTTTAATCGGTCGGTTTAGTAAGACAAAATATCAAATTTTTTACGTAAGATTAGAAGTTTGAATTTTCGTAATTGTGAATGAAGAAAACTTAGTTGGGAGGGTGACTCTTGCTTTTGCAGTATTCAATTTGAATTAATCAATCAATAAATAAGATACCGATGATTATAAAAAAAATACATAACAATAAAATGTTTGAAGAAACAGTAGCGTGTTAAAAATTTAGATAAGAATATATTATTAATAATTACTTAACTTTTATTAATAAAAAAATAGTTACTTTGAGGGGGTGTTTTGATCAGGAAAAAATTTATTAGTAATAATATTTCCCAGAATCACAATACTATGCTGGTTCAAAAGTATTCTCACTATGAGGTATTGAAACATTACTTATAGTGCTTTTTTTTATCTTGCATTCCCGAGAATCTCATTCCCTCTATTTTATTAGGTATTAGACAATTTTCTTCTTTTTGGAGAATAATGCCCCTGAGATAATATAATTATCTCAAAACTATAATGTCTTTTATATATAATTACACATGTATATTTATTTTTTTTATTTTTAATGATTTAGGAATTTTTTTAATACTTATTATAAAATAATATGATGCATATAAAATAAAAAATAAAATATAAATATAACAATTT